TGGGTTTTCAAGCGAGCGCATTACCAATTCTCTCTAGTATTCAGCCCTTTTTGACGTCCCACTGCTGGGCACGGGCCTCCCAATACGAGGGAGATCAGACCGTAGTCCACCACGCTGGCCAAATGCGGGTTGGCGGACTTCACATGTCTTTCGAAAATTTGCTAGGTTCTCTCAGACATGCAGGTTTCCTCACGATGTTTTCCTTCACCGTAAGGCCTTCACCGTAAGTGGTAATCATGTTAGAAAATGATTCGCACATGAAAATATCAGAGGTGCGAGACCTGGGATTTGAACTCGCTTCACTCGGTTTCCCAAGCGAGTGCGTTACCACTGGGCTACCACTGCCTAATACTCTCAAGCTTTGCAAAAAATGTGTATAAGATATATGTATATGTGAAAAGCTATGAAGGGTTTCGGGTTAATACCCTTTTAATATCATTAGCCTTGTTCTGTTGTGTTTTAATATAAAATGTAACAAATGATACCAAACCGCATATTATTATTGTCACACATATGGAAGTCTTTAAGAAACCACTGATAACGTTTTAAAGTTATTATTAATAACTTATCTAATTATTAAAATAGTTTATTACTTTTAATATGTTTATCTTGTTGTATTAGTTTGAAAATATATCATCTTTATTTATTCATGTTAAAATTTAATATTATCTACAAGAGTACTAAAAGTCATAATTTAAAAGTTCCTGGGCGACCGAGCTCGCTTCGCCCGGCATTTTTTAAGGAATTTAAAAGCAAAACCTTATCTAAATACAAAATTTGTTCCAAATCGTTAGATCCGTTTCCGACATATAGGAAATAAATTTATATATGTACAAGAATTACTTGCGTAGAAGTACTTTACGTATAAAAAGACACAAAATGCATCTTATAATTTTTGTGAAGCTATATGTCCCAATACATTATATCTACCAAAACTGTCAACACATTACAATTTACTAGGAAATTTGTGTAATGACCAGGGTGGTGGCGTCCACGACGAGGGCGGGACTCTATAAACAACTGTCTGACACGCTACCTTCGTCTATTTGAAACCTCGAAATATGCCTACATAATTTTGTGTACACATTATACAATATACTTACAGTCTATATTTCAATTAGCAAATCTATAAGATAAGATTATACTGACATCTTCTGATAGATAAAATTATTGGTCTTTTGTTATATATATGTTGCGAAGTAATCTGTGCTCAACTGGCACGCTGTGAAGTCATTAACAAGAAAATTGAATTGAATTGAATTTGAAAACATAATATAAAAAATAAATAAATATGTTGGGACATTAACACACAATATCATCTAGTTTCATGGTACGAGGCTTGTGTTATGGATACCAGATACTTGATACACTACAGATATATAACTTTAAATACATACTTATTACAAATAACCCATGACTGGAGTACAGACATTCGTGCTCATCACACAAATTAATGCCCCCAGCGGGAGTCGAACCCGCGACCGCTGGCACAGCAAGTAGCGTCATTACAAACTGAGCCAAACGTGTCGTCAAATATGTTAAAGTATTTTGGTTCGAAATATTAAATTCAGCCTGCAAGTGCTCGTGTTGTATTAACATCTAATATTTCTGCCTAACACTATACCTAAGAAACAAATAATTTATGTTTATTAGGTTGAATGTTAAGTAGGAACAGTTCATTAGTACTAGGGATTATAATCTAAGGGTATATAAGCAGACTATGACGTGTAAGATATAAAACGCAGCGAGTCGTATTGTAAAAATGCACCAAAGTACCTAAATGATTTAGACGAGGTTTTTTTTATTGGAGTCTATGCTTTATAATTTTACTTAGTATTGCTTTATTTTTCTATGTCCGCCTCAATCTAACAACAAATGATCGTCATTTGAAACGCTAATAAGAACAATTACCTAACGTAAAGAAATATTCTGACCTGTGAACTAATCATTTAAATAAACATGTCAATCACACAGTAACCACCATAGCGCACGACCATGATATACTTATTATTTAAGTTTTAAAGCTTCCCCTCTTGGCATAGCATACAGAGAATTAACATCACCTCAATGCAAAAGTATGATTGATCACTTTGCTTGTTTTGCTCTTTTTAAATTTTATTGAATGTGAGGATAAGTAAAGTTAATAAATATAAAAACAAATTAGAGTTGAAGAGCTAAGGGCGATTTTACTGCTATGAGTTAACGCTACAAACTAATTCTATCTTTTATTATGAGCTTAGTTTTTAGTATTTCTTATACCTGACACGCCCTCTCTTTATTCAAGCGCTTTCTTCTTCCAGTACTTAAAAATAACTGAAGGCTTCTCTATATAACTTAAACAAATGAAAAACTCGATATATTGACAAAAGAAATGCCTAACTTAATCTCTATGCAAATGAACTTATATAGATTTGTTGTAGTTACTATGTATATCTGTGTAAGATGGGAGGATAAACTAGGAAGCACGCTATCGCATTTATAATATGGGTTGTATTATAATGGTATAAAACATAATAAAAAAATACATAATTGTGGTTTTATGATGCGGAAATATAAGAATAAGCAATTTCAGGATGATATCATGTAAACCTTTTTATTAAAGGTCAGAGCAATATCTAAAATGCCATTTACTTAATATTATCTAAATGGCCTTAAACAGTTAATTTGTTAACAACGAAAATAAAAAAAAGCCAAGTGCATATCGAATTGACGTGAAGGCTCTGTTATAACAGAATATAAATCATCTGTTTTATGTATTATTCTACCAAAATTTACAAAAACAGTGGAGAAATTTATTGAAAATTTCTACGTCTTATTGAATAGTTGGTAATTTTTACCCGACTGTGGCGAAGCCCAAAGGAGGGTTATGTCAAACAGATCAGATATCCGTACGTATGTATATACAATCGCAATGAGGATGAAATATGTATGTATGTGTGTCTCCGACTGCATAATACTATATTTGTAATTTTTTGAATAGTTAGTGGTATTTGGTGCTTTACTTTGATGTTGGTCCCGATCTATGCCAGTTTTTATGATATAGTAAAAATTAGAAGATCCATAGAAACACGTTTTTTGTATGGTTTTTTTTTCTTAATATATTAATATCTTGTAAAAATTTCTACCTATTACGGTTTACACGATTTAAAATGTAGACATTAAAGGTTGGTCAGAGGGCAACGCAGACTTAACATTATAGGCGACGCTTTAGAAACTCTACTCGTAATAATAAAATCAACAAATATCTTATCAAATACGTTTTCTATAAGCCAATATTTTAACGATTTGTAAACTAAAATAATCAGTTAGTTTAGTAAGTAACTTGGCTATGAATGTTTAATCGTATAAACGACACGTGTTATTTACCTTATGTATTTTATCATAGCTATAGCACTAGTAGGTCGTTTGTTGTTAGAAACATGAATCACTATGAAAACAATGCCTAAGATGTGATTTCGAACATGACTTGCTCGAACGTTTTACCTTTAAATATATATTTTTTCTCTTGCTTATATTCATTTACTTATTATTTATCACCATATGTCTTAGAACGTTTGTTATGGGATGGGGAAATTAGAAAAGCTAGATAAAATTATACGAGTAAGTAGAAAAACCTAAATATATAAGACAGTGTAAATATGTCATATTATTATCATTTTTGATTATTAAAAATATTTTATTTAATAGTAAATTATCATTCCTTTCATGTAAGATTCTATTTTTTTCATAACGATGATATGATGTGAAAAAATCTTGTAGGAACTACAAATCACAATATTTAAAAGAGTATACTAAAATTGATGTTTCTCATTTTTTCTTTCATATCTTTGAGAAAGAATATTACCATAAATCTTTAATGTAACGTCTAACTCATACTTGACTAAGTAGACAAAATTACAATATCACAAACTCTACACTCACACTTTTATATCCTTAGTCTGAAGTCTCTAGTAGACTCAACACGTAACTTAGTAGAGACTCTCTACATAAGTTACGTGTATAATAGCTTGGTAGAGTTAGAGCTGGAAAATTCGACATTCACAGAATTGCTTAGACGTTGAAAAAATATAGAGGATTTTATAGTGTTTATTTTATAGTTATTCTAAAAGTAAACAATAAACATAATATTATTCTTATTAATATTACAAATGAAAAGAATGTTTGTTAGTTTGTAAGTATTTACATGTAGGCAAGGAGCAACGAATGTTTCGTTTGGACAATTTTCGGGCCTACTGCTAATTATTGTAATATTGTTTTAATTAGTACTCCAAGAGATCTCAGTTGTTGGAGAGGAACAAATCTCTAGTGTTTTTTTATGTTTGTTACACGATTTCTTCGGTAATTTGAATCTATTTACGTAGTTTCTTTTAACGATAACATTTAATATGGCTTGTTGAAATATGTATTTTTTTTACGCTGTATATGTGTGTGTCTTACTATCAAAGGACTCGCAATTACTGTTTATACATATAATATGATATCGTTTTAGTTTCAACATTTTTCAAGGTTCATTTACTATAGCTATATTGTGATATCTCCCATGTAGCTTAGTTTGTTACTTCATTGCTTATAAAACATAAGATGATGTCATAGTACAAACTATCTTTTTCTATCTATGATTCAAAATTATTTGCTAACTTAGTAACTTAATACCAATTACAATTTAAATTTTTTATATTAAAATGTAGAGAGAGAGTGATTGATATACGAGCATTAGTTTTTGTATGTTTTTTTGAAACAACATAAATTATTATTGTTTATTCTAATGTAATAATTTATTACTGAGCGTATAACTATAAAAATCACATCGATTATTATATACTTTGTTTTCTTGGTATACATAAACTAGTTTTGTATCCCAAGAAAACATAGGGGGTACTTTCCTTATACCAATCTTAAAAATAAACTACCAGATATTAAAACGTAAGTTTAACGAGGCTTTACTATTTATTTATTTACATTATACCTTGAAATAAAGCGTATAAAGGTTAATAACAAACCTTTAGTTTCGATTTGTGCACCACTTGATTAATTTGAAGCGAGTCAAACGCGTGCCATATGCAATTCGTGACGTTTTTCAAAAGGGCCGACATTGTGAACCATTAAGCACTTTTCACATAAAAATATATACAAAATATTTTTTTCAAGCACTGCACACGTCTGTCACTCGCGCTTTCGTATTACAAACTAGCAGTCAGACTTCGATATCAAAGGAAGTGGGTGAAGCGGAACGCGAGATAAAGACTTACGCGTAAAGTCGGATGACTTATTTTTTCCAAATATGGCATTTTCTTTGTTTTTTCTTATAAAATGCTAATTTAGATACGTCCTGTAATACATTTCAATGTTAGATTATAACTTGCAATTTTTAATTAATTAGCTTCTGAAGGTAAAGCGATAAGTTTATTTCTGTCCTGAATCCTGAAAATATCACATATTAGATAACTACATATAATTTAATGAACATCTGTTAGATTAACAAGATGTAACATTATTTAATTACCCATTTGCGTGTCTAAATCTTTCGAGAATTAGGGAGTTCGAGAGTGATTTATGGGCTTTTTATATATTAAGGTCTGGAATAAGGAATGTTTCACAATATAGATCACAGGTAATTAAACCATTATAATAAATTTTGAAGAACTAAAAATATTTTTTATTCATTTGTTGATGAAATAAACAGTTTTCAAATAGGCTCCTATTTGTTAGTAGAGATAATGTAGAGTAGATATATCAAAAAAAGTTAAAATGGTTTGCTTAAACCTATCTATCTAATAAGTTAACCTTTTATGAAGAAATTAAATTATTTGATATTAAAAATAGTTAAAATTGTTTAAAATCATAAAAATATTGTTTAAAAACATAGTATAGTAAAAATGAATATATTTGATAAGTAATGTAATTCAAAGTCTATGTTTATATAGTTTTTCATTTCCTTAAGTCTACGATGCCTAGTTTATAGCCTCAATGCCGCACGCTAATTGCTCTTATTAAACCCCACATGGCCGTAATAAAGTCAAGTAAGTCGCCATCACATAAATATTATGTGAAACACCACATTCAATAAGCCATCAATTAGTGTATCTTTATTTATTAATTACTTTATAGAGATGTATTGTATAAAGTAATTAAGGCTTGCCATATGCAATTCTTAGGCTTGTGTGTGTATGACATAGATTAGGTACATCTACATATACTAATATTATAAAGATGCCGAGTTTGTTTGTTTTTTAAACGCCATTACTAAATAAACAGGTAGACAGGCGTTATTAATATATTCTAGCCATTAATTAATAGCCTCATTAGTTATTTAATAGATTTTTTTATGAAATATAGGGTTATTTATTACCTATCCAAAAGTATTAGTATTGCCTTGTCGAAAGTGTGTTCATCATACATGGTTGTCTAGATCGCAGATCACCCGTTTTAAAACACTACATACTTAAATATAAAAAAAACCTGGCACTTAAGTAGTTAATAAGTTTAAAAGTTTCTATGAGTGTGTTGGCACTCCGTCGCGCTCAAACGAATGGGTGGATTTAAATGATATTTAATAGATAGGTAGACAATGTATGGCGTGGAGTTAAATATAAAATGTATTCAGCCTTTTTTAAATCCCACTGCTGGGCACAGGCCTCCCTTCAATACGAGGGGGATCAGGCAATAGTCCTTCACGTGCGGTTGCAAAGTGCGGGTTGGCGAACTTCACAATCGCATTGTCATTTCACATGTCTTTCAAAATCTTGCTAGTTTATTCATGAGGTTTCCTCATGATGTTTTCCTTCATCGTAAGTGGTAATATGTTAAAAATGATTCGCATATGGAAATATTAAGTGCGAGACCCGGGATTTGAAGCCACTTCACTCTGTTTCCCGAGCGAGCATGTTACCACCAGGCTGCCACTGGCAAAATATAAAATATTACCTATTAATAAAATAATAAATAAATAAATCGCTAGTAACATTACGCAAAATAAGCCTTACGAAGTTATGTTATGACGTATCTACTACAAAAAGGGCTAAGTAATTTCATAAATATGGAATTTCATTCGGAATATTCATATTTTCCACCCTTACTACTTGTTTAAAGCTGTCCTTGTGTACGAGTAGACAGCGAAGTGATCATTTCTATGAACCAGCATGACCTATTTCAACGCGCTCGCTACATATTAAGCAGTAAAGGTCATACACCCGAGCTAATGGCGCTCTTCCAAGCCTTGTAACAAACCTTATTATATTCATATTACTCATCAAACATCCTCGGATGTTATGCCCATATCCGTCAGTTGACTCACCGTCTCAATGTAAATAGAAAAGAAATTAGTGCTTCGTATAGTAGATTAGATTGTATAGAGACAAAAATGCTGAAACATCTAGTAGGTAGGTATATACATATAATTAATGTTTTTTGAATGTTTTTTTAGTTTTTGCATTGCCAAAAAATTCATCTGATTGTGATGAAATTTTGGTGAGTTGTTCTGCGTAAGCCGACAAGGTTTCTGGCTTAAAAAAGTTTTTTTTCTTTATACTACGAGTATGTTGGTTCTCCTCATGCGTTCCTAAACTTTCGTCCCCAGGGTTTTAGTATGTTTTATAAAATAGGACTTCTTATATTGAGATATTATTTTCAAGTTTTTTCTATATATAATTTTTTATAATAATGACTTGTTTGTATTTACGAACTAGATGATCGAAATATTTTTATGGCTCTACATTATTTGGGTGTCTAACTTGTGTGCCATTTTGAAATTCAAATTATTAGTTACTGTTCTCCCTTCAATGTCATGTAATAATCATTAAAATCATTATTTTTATAGATAGCTACTTACTGTCAAATTGCAAGACCAAATGTACTTAATATGTATACATATAATTCATTCAATATTTAATTAAAACAATAATTTAAATTTTAAAGTATATACATTTGAAGGCTTATAAAAGTGAAATTAATCTTTAGAGTTTCATATTAAATAAACTTCATAAAATTAGGACTTTTATTTTCCTTACAGAGTAGGTACAGAACCCGTAGTGCAACAGTCTATCTTAGTTGACCGGGTTTTATTTTAATGGATTAACGATTAACAATCCCTTATCTAAAATGATTTAAGCGACTTTCTAGCCTTATACATGCAATCCTTTTTAACAAATTATCTGGCAAATGATCACTTTCTCTACAAATAAGTGATGTATCATTTTAACTCGAGTGTGGGTTGGTTCTAACTTTTATTTTGTCAGTTGGTCGTTTAATTATCTTGTAATTGATGATATATGACGTCACTTGCAATAGTGAGTAACCAGCTTTAAACGTCTTCTATACATATAATAAAATTGTAACTAAGCCGAATCTGTATCTATACTAATATTATAAAGAGGTAAATAATCTCTGGATCTACTGAAGATTTTCAAAATTCTTTTACCAATAGAAAGCCACGTTCTTTCTGAGTGTCATAGGCTATATATTGACCCGAAAAATGAAAATTTTTTCGTGGTAGTCGGATTTGCAAAGTAAGTCGGAGAAAAAACGGCCGAAAATTTTTGGATGGGATTTTGACGAAATTTGGTATGGTGGTTAACTGGTCAACATATAGGATACTTTTTACCGCGGTAAAATGTCTCATTTCTAAGAAAAAATACAAAAACTGCAATGTAAGAGTATACTAATATGTAAAACCTAAGAATTTGGTTTTTGATCATCTGAACGCGGGCGGAGCCGCGGGCAATGCTAGTAGTGAATATAATCGATAAGCCTGAGCTTTTAAGTGATCAAGAGATCTTGCGAAGCAATGTGCTCAACTGGTACGGTTTGAAGCCAATAACTCATTCGTCATTCCCTCATTCACATTCGTCTATAAGAGACGAATGACGAACCATTTGTTTTAAGTTGGTTAAAAATATAGAGCATTATCGGAACGCGGTTTAAATTGCAAACACAAGGTCAAACGGTCTACGGAACTAAACAAAACCTTATTAGTACAGGTCGTCATGCAAATGACCGCTTCTATCGGAAGTAGTTGAAGGTAGCAACCATTTCTGTACCATGAGGGCCAAAGCGCCCACTTTAAAAACTCATTTTTTTAAAAGCAATAATATTCGCACTTCTTTTTTTTTACATTAATTTATGTAATAATACTTTATGTATCGCATATTAAATCGTATGATCTTTAAACTAGCATGAGAGTCTAATAACGATTATTTTTGCAATTGTTTTTTAAGTGAAAACTTCTATAGGCAGGTTTGGATGGGGAGTAAATTCATGTAAGTCGTCATCAACATGGTCACGTGACGTGTTAACGCTATACTCAGAGTGCCGATAGATGTCAAAACCAGGTAAATGTAAACAGTTTTAATTTAAAATCAAACAATTAATTTGAATATCCAAAATTAACAAATGTTTGTTTATAGTTTTAAGTTCTCACTTCCGTCCTCATGATTGCTTTTTTTATTTAGGGGATCTTTCATGGAGCCAATACCGTTGGCTATCATGGGGTAGGGATCTGACTCTTATACACTTAAACCAGCGGGACCCTGACATGATGAACGTGTTGCCTGTCGCTGCTGCATGTATATTATATGTACTTATATATCGTCTATTAGTTATTCCCTCTACGACCGCGGACACGCCGGCGTTATAGTTAACGATAGATTTCTTAGAAATTTACCTGGAGGTGATAATACTATAATTACTAATCATAAAACTTAACTCTGCATCTACTTAACTGATTGAATTTAGCTAAACATGTATGTTTAAAATGTGGACCATAAATTTTAAAAATAGGCAATAAAGACTAGCAACTGGACTACTGGAACTAGATATATATGCACATACATTGCACGAACTTAACAGCAATATTATCTTAAATTATATTTTTTTTATTTGTTAAACATCTATGTTTGGATCTAATCATTAGGTCGCCACTAAACATATACAGTATTACGTCGCTAGTAGTCTGAAAAAAAAATTGCGACTGTGGCCAAGCCAAAAGGAGGGTTATGTGTTTTGCCTGTATTATGTTTTAGTATTTACGAAGTCGGTTCTTTTTTATTTTTATTTGAAGTGATGTTATAATTATTTACTAGATAAATAAGCAGATACGTTATATAATAAAAGAGCTTCCTATGAAACTCTTTATAATATTATAATACTATTATTAAGACTAAGTATTTAAAATTTTAGAAAATAAAGCAATATTAAAATCTAAAGGAGTTTAAAATAAAACACGAATATCTTTGGTAAGTTTATTGATCCATCAAAGTACTACACACAAAGACAAAACTGACAATATACCGATATACGTCAAACGTACGCCTAAGCTTATATGACGATAAAATTACTATTATATGCTTATAACTACATGAACAGATGAAATACTGACTTCAAACACCGGCGAATTCTTTTTTTTTTACTTTTAGGTATAAAGCAAAAAGTAGTTAAGTCTAAAAGTCCAAAAAATTTCAAATGTTTAAGTAATATTTATACTCATTCTTCTTTAAAACAAGACCTTATAGGAGAAACAATGTTTAAAATAATTATTACAACTCGATAAATCTGTTCAAGTAGTTACAAACAGTAAAACGAGAATTTTTTTAAAATACTCTAAAAACTACAAGCATTAGCGGAGATTCAAATGATATAAATAATGCAACAATCGAAGTATTAAGTACTTATCCATCTCCCAAACCATACCCGCGTCATATTAAAAAAAATGCTATCAATGCACTGGAATGTTATACTAATTAGTGAATATAATAATGTGCTGTAAAATATGGCAAGATCGTCCACAATATTTTTTAAATCAAATAATAATATCCAAACTTCTTTGTTACATTCAATGAAACAAAGATTCAGATAACATATTCTGGAAACAAAACTAGAATCGCAATATTAAATATCGAACGAGAATATCTAAAGTAGCTGCATAACTTAACACAACCATTATATATAAAAACTCCATACCAATTTAATTATTACGTACATACATCTGTTGTCTTTAAATTTAATTATAAATAATAAATTATATTACAATAATATAAATAGAAAATCTTATTTAAAAATAAAACAAAATGAATATCAAGTGTCATATATAAATCTCAAATCTATTACATAAGAGAAAGCCTCACGTATATTCGATCAAATATTGACCCGATACATCCCTCACAAGTGTAATAAATTATAATAAGTAAATAACCATGAAATTAAAGTAATTTAAATATAATTTTCAATAATATATAATCATTTTAAACGAATCGACAGCTAAAATAGCGTTTAATAGCCAATTTGACACTTATTATAACATTTAGTACGTGGAATCTAGGGGTTGACTAGGACCGTTACTGAAACATACTTCAAGGGGTACATCGAACTATTATAAAGGATTTGTGCCCCACCGCCTGTTGCAGATATCTGATTATGAACTTACACCACTCACTGACATTGGTTGGTCTTGTAAATGGCGGACTTTTTTTTTATTTTTTTTTAATATTTATGTTTACGCCATTTTTACAACGACCTAATTACACTGTTATTGGTTTACATATGATATTGTGGAATCGCAATTCTTTGTACGGTGTTACTGCAATAACCGATTAGAAAATTGTTCAAATTGAAATTCAAAATTAAAAAAAAAACTTATGTTATGATTACTTTAGAGTGATCCGCAACCCTATTGTAATATAGGACATTTAAAAATTTGTATGAAAAATACTTGTTTAGGGAATAGGAGAAGTACTTATTAGGCACTTTTCAAAAGAAGCATAAACAATCTCTTTAACTTTTGTGCGTATATATCTAGATATAAAGGTACAAAAGGAAATATAGGAATATTCTTATATAAATACCATATACTTGTAGTGTAATTGTATAAAACGTCTCTTAGAATTTCTTCTAATATATTCACGCCGATCCAATTAAAGGATCAGGCGTAAGGTAAAACTTTGTTTTATATTCACAGCCATTGCAATATATGAAAGAAATTAAGAAAAAACTAAAAGTTTTATAACTTTTAGTTCAAATAACCAGTTATCGGTTATATTAAAAAGTTATTCAAGAGTTTTCATTGATTAGCCTTTTCGGAAAATCTATACAGATAAATAAAATTGAAGTGTCTGTTTGTAATAACAAATTTGTATCCGTTTGTTCCGGCTAATCTCCGAAACGGCTGGACCGATTTTGACGGCACTTTCACTGGCAGATAACTGATGTTATTAAGAGTAACTTAGGCTACTTTTATTTTAGAAAAGGAATTAGGGTTCCGCAAAAAAAATAATTAAAACGTAGTATATATATAAAACGCTAATAATAAACTAAAATGCACTGTAAATAGGTTGCAAAAGAAACTTTTACTAAGTCATATTTCATACAGATATGGTACGGAATATGCGCGGCAGTAAAATAACTTCGTACGTACGACTTAGGGTAGATAATCAGTCTCAAAAAAACCCGACTTTGGTCGTCGGTCAACGAAAAATAGGACTTTTTATATATAAAATATGGCACAAATAGGAATTCCGATCCCACAAATTCATATATAGACTCTGTTTTAGATTTTATAAGGAATATGTTCCCATTAAAGCTGACGTCGATATGAAATTTTTGTTCTAGAATTTTCGGTGTAATATCCGACTTACGTTGACACGATTTGCTACTTTGACCGCCGTCTCTATATGTCTTTCGACTCACAATGACAACAAGAGGCAGATATGAATAAATAAACGTTAAAATAAAATGTTCTTTTAAAACGAATTGTTTTACAATTTCATAGAGACTAGTGAATACATCGAGTTTTCTTATACGAAGAAATTGTGGGCGTTTTGCAAGCTCGTATTTAGTTATTTTTCTAGATCTAGACGTTTTCATTTGATTACTTGGTAATTTTACAATCTCACACATGTAGAAATCTAATATATTTGATTTCCAAATTTGCTTACAAATTGATATTACATTTATAATCGATTCTTTTTTTATCGATGTTGATATGCGAATTGGTGGTTCCACAATTTCGCATATAGAGAGTTCCAGCAACACAGTTGGTAGCTGTACATTCTCGTAATTAATATAAAGTTTGCACATTCTCGTTGTTAGCATTAGTATTAACGGCTCCACAATCTCCTTTATACATGAATTATTTAATAAAAAAAGAAAATCACAAATGAAAAAAATTAAAAACCATTTTTTAATTAACATTGTCAATACTACTGATTGTATTAAAAGTACTACTGACATATTAATATTTGATATTGGTATCGTAAGTACCGGGCGGTCACAAAGTAACAGTGCCGGTACTAGTGTTTGTAAAACATGTAGCGTTGGTAGCAGGCTGTCATAAGATAAGAAGAGTAAATTTAAACAATCAGTAGTACCAACTGACAATTTTGTTTGTAATGTTGGTATTAGTTTAATTCGGTAAACAAGTAGCGTGAGTACCAGGCGGTCATGTAGGAAGAGAGTCAACGTAGTCGCGAGTGGTGCGGGTGTCGGGCGGTGGTCGGACGTGCGCGTGCGCTAGGCGGCGGGGGAGGCGCGCGGGGGGGAAGCGGGTCACCGCGCGCCGCGCCCGCGCCGCCCCGGCTTGCCGCGACGGTTAAATCCACTGTTTAATTAAAAAAAAACTTTTATTATAATAACTAGCGAGTTAAGTTTTAACGTTTAGTATAAATTTCTCAGAGATAAGATATTTTCCCGCAGTAAAAAGTATTCTATATGTTAACCCGGATAACCAGCTAACATCATACTAAAATTCATTAAAATCTGTCGAGTAGTTTTCTCGTGATGCGTTCTCAGACAGACAGACAGACAGACAAAAAATCTAAAAACTATAGATTCGGCCTCTGTATCGATAATAATGACTACTGCTATAGGATTTTTAAAAAAATATTTAATGTACAGATTCGACTCAGAAATTTTAATAATACATGAAGGAAGCGCCATCTTTTGGTAAATATTGAGAGCAAAGAGCTTTGTCGTTAAAAAGACCATGTCGCTCTGTGTTAGGTTCACATAGAAAATTTCTCAAAATTTAAGGTTCTTCATTAACTAATTACACGATTATTACAGTTATTTTTAACTAATTTAAACGATATTTAACAAATTATAATAATTAACTTACCGGTATGGCCCACGATACGGCTGCTCGTGGACGTTATCAGTGGATGTGCTGGGTATAGCGCGCGGTACACTTGCCTCGGCCTTCACCCCCGTTCCGCTGGTAGAGCTCTTGGCTTCCTGTGGATTGTTTTATATGATATATAACGTAACATCAGTAAAATAGTAAGAGCAGTTTTACGCCATATTTGTAAATCATAGATATATTCATTATTCATAAGTGTAAAGGAACGATTTGACAAATGTCAACCGCACCATACTACAATTAAAACATCCATACTAATATTATAAATGTGAAAGTGTGTTTGTTTGTCCTTCTTTAACGTCGAAATGGATTGACGGATTGGCGTGATTTTTTTATGTGGAGATATTTGGAGGTTTGGAGAGCCACATAGCCTACTTTTTTTTCGCGGGAAATTATCTCATTCCCACGGGAAAACACGCTATAATAAAACCCAAAAAATATTTACGAACAGAATTACTTGAAACTTGGTAATTATGCTCTTCAATACAATTAAATAAACAAATGTTTTAGCATTTTTCGATATTCATCACATAAAGGAATAAAATAGGGGATGAGTTTCAGCGCGAAGCGAAGCCGCGGGTTCTGCTAGTATAGTATAAAATTAACCCAATTTTTTTTGCAACAAGTGTGAAAAACTAACAAAATCAAAAATAAATTAATTGACATACTAAAAATTACATTAAATAACAATATGCATAGTTATACGAAAGTAGTTAGGAAAGGATTACCTCTTTTACCTATTTTACGAGAGACCATGATTGCTGTAAAGCTTTCGAAAGGTCGGGAACCAATAATCAAAATCCGCAAAAAAATATATCGAAAAGATAGTTTTATTTAATATGACATTTGTGTAGATCTAAGAAATTATTAAGAAATACCTCCTTATCTTCAGGTGTTGTGATAGTCAACAGCGGCGGGCCGTCGTCCCCGGAGCCCACCACGCCACCGCGCGCAATCTGACGCGCGAGTACCTCCGCCATACGTTCTTGCAACGCCTAAACATCATAAAACACCCGTATCTATACATATAATAAAATAGTAACAAAACGAAATATGTATATGAAATATTAAAAAAAAATACTGTAACGTGTTGTGTGTGTGTGTGTTATTAAAATGTTTGTCTGTATATCAGTTATGTAAATTTCACGTACTGAACCGATTTTAGATTTTCTTTTGTAGTGATAATTTATTAATCGGACCAACAATTAGGATACCTTTTACTACAAGAATAATCTTTCATTCTCATGGGAAAACACAGTAACTGGCCCTGTCTAGTCGTCTTTATAAAATTTACATGGCCAACGCTGGTTAAACCTTAAGAGATACATCAAAATAATTTAGAAAAGTGTAGGTCTTAAATAGGCCTACGGAAAAGTCGACAACATAGGGTAATGTAAGCACACACGAGCGAAGCAAGGGTAAGCCACTAGTTTATTGTAAATAAAAACGAAAATGTTTTATCCTTACTACGTTTTTTTAGCTTTAGTTCGGATGACAATACAGATGACAATTTAAAATAGTGCTACTCTGGCTGGCTACTCTGCAAGTTTGGACTCATATGACTCGTTTTGAGCACAACTGATCTTATAATTTTTAGAGCGAATCTATATTTTACAACTGAATCAATAACTAGAGTAAAAGAAAATACTTTTGACTGTAACTGTAATGCAAAAATCAAAATTATATTTTAATTTATATAAGGATTCGTTAAAACAATTCAAATAATCAAAAGCCAAAACTCATTAAAATGTACAAGTTATCATGTGGAAGTCCCGTTGAAAAGGCAATATTGCAATGTTTATACAAAAAGGGGCTCAATAATTTTTTATTTTCATAAAAAATTTGAAAGTCTACAATATAGCTTATTTGCAAGTTGTAGAAGTATGTAATAAGTTTGTAAATTATACCTGACCATTTAAGTTTGCTTCAATGCTACAATAGAAAACCCGAAAAGAAATATTAAATTGTCATGTTAATTATATTAGTAAAACATAATAACTTTACCTTCAACTCATCTGTTAAACGGAAAGGTGGGGCGTTAATGGAGTCTACCGGCGGCGGGGCCTGCTCTAGGGTCTTCACGTCGAAGGAGACACTGCATCGGCAGACTGGGCAAGTTTGCTAAGAAAATATACATAGTAGATAGAACATGTACTTAATATTAATTCTAATAAGTACTAGGTAAATATAACTTTTATATTTATTTTTATGTGAAACAAGCGAGTCTTCCTCGCTCCGGTTTCTCTGGTTCTTCTCTAGTTACGTTTTAACATGTAGTATAAATTTGTCAGAGATGAGATATTTTACCGCAGTAAAAAATATCCTATATGTTGATCTGGATAACCAGCATCAAAATCTGTCCAGTGATTTTCTCGTGATGCGTTCCCAGACAGACAGAATAGTGACTATTTCAATAAGATTATCAAAAAAATATTTAATGTACAAATTGGACTCAGAATTTTATTACATGTATAGACAATAATAGGGCTGGCAACACAAAAGTGATCTAAAAGACAATAAGTGTAAAAAAATAATGTTTCTCCTAGTTATTTTCAAATTTTTCACTATACCATCTCAAATAGCTGAGGCCACTTTTATTTCAACAACATTAAATATAAAAAGACAGTGGTAGTCCAGTAGTAACGCGCACGTTACTTGCTTTACAGTAAAAAAAAGAAACATCATGAGGTAACCAACACTTTCGAGAGAACCAAGTCAGTGGTCGAAAGATATATGACGTCCAAATATATTACACACTAGCGACTCATTCCTATAGATTATTGATTCCCCATATAAACCTTCATCCCCATGTTCACCCCCTTAAGGGGTGATGTCCGGGTTAAAAAGTATCCTATGTTCTTTCCAGGATCTCAAACTACCTTCTTACCAAATTTCATCTAAATTGGTCCTGTCATTTTGAGTTTATTTGTTACAAACATACAAAAATACAAATCTTTCCTCTTTATAATAGTAGTGTAGAAGTGTAGATAAATGCTAATTACCTGATATGGTGCAGCTTGGGCCCTTTGCCAGTTGGGCAGTTTCTCCATTTCCTCCAAATAGTACTTCTTGCTGTTGATCAGATGCTTGGATAAGCAGTGGCTGTGGAAGTGATGGTAGCAGGGCGTCTTGATGAAGACATCTCCTTTGACGAAGTTATGAAGGCAGATCACGCATTGACCACTCGGTAGGTTGCATTGTGTGAGATACTCACGTACAATCTAATCACAGTAAAAAAAAGACAATGTTAAAAATGCATATAGATTACTTTGTTTTTTTTTTTAAGTTTGTTATCATGCACAAATGGGCTTTATTAGAGTTATGGCGTGCTTTGACCAGAACTTCTTAATGCAAAATGTTGACAAAACAAGATATCTAAAGTTTTCAATACATAAAATGAACAATGACAAAGGCAACACATAAGTTAGACATGTTAGTTTAAAGATCTTATTACAAAAGATTGTTTACTAATGTAATAAAATATACAGGGGTTTTAATTGATGACTACTTAAGTTTTCGCCCACATTTCAACCTTCTTACTACAAGAAAAAGTAGTCATGTTTGTGTTCCTTTTTTAAAAAAAATAATATAATTCTTTGGCTAAATAACCTCGATCACAAAGAAACACAGTTTAATAAACAGTAGTTTGGTAAAAAGTACAATTTTCTTTAAAAAAAAAAACTAAAAACTTGAATACAAAAAAAAATAAAAAAAATTATATCTTTGTATCCGACCGGGATTCAAACTCAGATACCTATGATTGTCAATCTTGCGTTTTTTTTAAAAGAAACTAAAATTTTGAATACATATTAAAAAAAAAACAAAAGTAAAAACTTTGTATGCGACCGAGATTCGAACCGACACCTGTGATTGTTGATCTTACACCTTGGCCGCTTGACCACGATTACGATTGACGCTTATTCCCGAGCGTGCAAATTACCGACCATATTTTGCGTGGAATAGCAAAATAAAACACAGCATGAAAACTCGAAAACACACGTTTTCTCAGACATAAGACTAATCTAGATCGATTTATCGCCCCCGAAACCCCGTATGCTAAATTACATGAAAATCGTTGGAGCCGTTTCCAAGACTCAGATTACAATAAAAAAAAATAGTATTACTATTCGCCAATAGATGTCAGAAAGAGTTATTTTTTCAGTTTATGTTTAAGTGGCCACATTAGGACTATCCAAATGCCACCTTTTTATTATTTTTTTCCTATAAAAAAAAATAAGTTTATGTTTTAGTTAATTATTGATAAAGTTGATTATTGAAAACACGAATAAAACGTCATTTTATAAAAATACCTGAGCCACCGAGATTCACTCGGAGTTTTTGGTCAAAGGTACAATTTTCTTTAAAAAAAAAAACAAAAAAAAAATTATACCTTTGTATCTATATATGTTTATTCCTTTCTTTCTTAGACTTCAAACTTCTCTAAAAAGTATATTTGGCTTGGGGGGGGGGGGGGTTATGACCCCCCCCTGGATCCGCGCTTGCTCCCATTCTCACACGCACTTAAACTTAGACACGCACAAACACAAACACATTTGATTTTCAATTTTGTATTTTTTTTCTACAATAGTAATTAAGTTTTCCTGTCAATATTGATTGTAAAGATAGTCTTGTGATTTTATATTGCAGTTTATGGGTGGGAGCCTGATACAATAATCAGTCTCACACAAATAAATTGAACTTAATGTGATATGTATATATTCCTTTTGTGCAGATATTTGTGAAGAGAAATAAATAAATTTACTGTCTTGGAAAAAAGTATCAGTGGGTTTTTTTATAGAGGTAGTTTCTATGCCAAAGAATAGGCTCCTTTTTATTTATGTTAAGAAGTCCAAAAGGTTGCAAAAGATTATTTAGAAACACTTAAGTATTTAAAGTGGAAAAAATAGACTATGACAGACAGTTCATGACACATGAGTAACCATATAAGGCAATTCCTTTTTTATTGTAATACTCTAAGAAACTCTATCAAACATGTCAATCTTTATAGTATGAATGGCATGGTAGCTAAATATAAAAACACTTAGCCTAATGTAAACATTAATAATAATACAAAATTAATAATAATACATTTTAACTATGGTAACTTTTGTAGACTTCAAGTAAAGGAAGTTATTATTGTTAATAAACTATATAATAGATAAAATGTAAAAAAAAAACAATTTTAAAAATCTCAACTACTTAAGGCCAGTTTCGACTAAAGTCTAAGAAACTATACATGGTACATTCAGTGTATACTCCAAGTGTACCTGTGGCTTTGCAAAAGTTGTGTCCAATGAAAAGAAATCTATTGTAAGAGATATATAGGAAAAACTGCTGTCTGTTTTCACTTAGAATGATGCCAGCGTTAGCCATATAAATTTTAATTTTTCATTTTTTCTCTTTATTAAGACCTTGCGTAGACCTTATAGCATACGAATTACCTTATAGCATGAAAATTGGTCGAATTGGTCCAGCCATTCTTGAGTTATGCGCTTTATTTATAGTAATATATATGATAAAAATTAAGCTTTTATCTCAACTTAGTAAGCAGATTGCAATAATAATGGAAAATTTAATTATTAATTTATTTAAGTAGTAAATATTAAAATTAATAATAATAAAATTAATAAAACATTCGCTAAGGCTTATTGTTTTTTATTTTCTTAATTATTAGATTTATAAGTATTAAAATTTAGCACTTAATTTAATGCAACTAGAACTACAAAATTAAAAGATTTTAAGCCTTGTATTAAATAAATAATTTTCATAAAATGTTTATGATGCTGTTGTAACTTGTACTTATAAGTATACCTAACATTAACAAGTTAAATTAATAAAATATAGCTAATTTACCTTTTAATAGTTACTAATAAAAATCTTTAAGCTAATGTAATATTAATAATGGTAAAATTATGTAATTGAAGTAATAAATATGTGATATTATTAAAATAATTATAAGATAGGGGAAAAATAAGAACTAAAAATAAATTTGAAATAAAAACTTACCTCTATCAGTTCAAAAACAATCGGGTTGCCAATATGTGTGTCCAATTTTTCCTTTATTTTGGAATCAATTTTAGAGAGCAGTTTGTCATCTAAACCTCGAGGGTTTCTGAGAAAAACTTCTGGACTGCTCTCAGGATAGTCTAGGGTCAACTTGACCTCTAAAGTTAAGCAGACGTATTGTTGATCGATCTGATCGCCAGTTGAGGGATGGATCACGGTTTCGATTATTCTCGGCACGCCATCTTCATGTTTGACTGCTAGGTCTTCAATCAGGATAGCTTCAAGAGCTTCAAGTTCGTCATACACGCTGTAAATAATGAATAATTTAGTTATTGAAACCAATAATTCAACAGTAATATTAAAAATTGCTACACACCGATTATCGATGGTGGCCGTCATGGTGGCTGAGGGCGTACTGGCTAGTGGCTATATTTAAATCTGGGCTGGGTCTAGAATTTTTTTTTCAAGTGCATTCAGTTCAGGCAGGCGCAATGCAGTCGGTGCAATAAACAGCTGGGCCCGGGACCGATCCGACAAAAATCAATCAAGCTGTCTACAATCACAGATAAAATAAAACAACATTACGTTAGTGGCGCCCTCAGGCCTCAGCCAAACGTAGCTTTAAAAAGGCATAGATAATTAAATTGCATGCATTGCATTATTCAACTTTTAATAGGTAATCTGGAGTAACTTCGTATTATTTATTTAATGAGGATTTCCGAGATAAAACTATTTCACTCACTCACTTTTCATATCATGAGATTTAAAAAATCTTATTTTAATTAAAAAAAATATTCTCTTACATTTATTATTTATTAATAATTTTCCGATTAATAATAATTACATTATTTATTTTCCTGATTATTAATAACGATCCCGATTTCCGGGATAAAAATATCCTATGTCGTTCCCAGGGTCTCAAACTATCTTCTTACCTTTCTTTAAAATCGGTTCAGTAGTTTCGGAGCCTATTTGCTACAAGGAAACAAAAAATCAAATCTTACATCTTTATATTGTTATGAATATAGATTATAAAATTAGAAAAACGTTACAAATTTAACATTATAAATGCAATTTCTTGTGGGCACTTTTTTACATAATATTAATTAAAGAGTTTCATACAAACTTTCATCCCCCATTTTACACCCTTTTGAGATTGAATTTAGAAAAAACTGTATATTTCTTATTTTTATCTTAAAGCTTAACGCTACTTTCGGTTTCTGTGTATTTTAAATTAATAATCACAGAGTTTCATACAATTTGTAATTACATATTTTACACACAAAAATCTTTTCTTATCGGATCTACATCATATAAGAAATACATCCTCCAAATTTCACGTACCTACGACCAGCGGCTTAAGCTGTGTGTTGATCCATCAGTCAGTCAGGACCACGGCAGCATGTATCTCTCCTTCCCAATTCTTCCTTCAGCTGGTCTAACTTCCAGGTACAATACATTGCAGAGGTAAGATGCGAACATAATAGAAGCAACCAGGTAAAAAAGAGATATCACAATATATTGCTTAATTTCAGACTGAATGTTAATAGGCCATACGTGTGGCGTCCTCCTTTCGAGGAATCTTCCCATTAATACCCGTTACATTAATATCTCTAAAGACTTGGACCTAGAATTTTGATTGAAAATCTATACTTATAATAAAACTGTAACTAAGCCGAATCTGTACATTAAATATTTTTTGGAAAATCTTATTGAAATAAACATTATTATCGATACAGAGGCCGTGTTACCGCATCACAGAAAAACCACGGTAGGGATTTTGATAAAATTTGGTATGGTGATAGCTAGTTATCCGGGTCAACATATGGATACCTACTTTTTACAGCGGGAAATTGTCTTATTTCTGAGAAAAAATACAAAAACTGCATTGTAAGAGTATACTAATATGTAAAATCTAATAAATTGGTTTTTGGTCATCAAATGCGGGCGAAGCCGCGGGCAATGCTAGTCTCAGACTCTCAAATAAAATATAATTTTAGACAGGACAATATATGGTACATATTATATGTAAGGGTCAGTTAGTGATGGTGTAAAAGTGACATTATACACTTGTAAAATATATATTCTTCTATCAGTAAGAGCACTTATTTGGACATTGAGATTCGTGATTGAAATTGAATATGTTTGAAATAAAATTATTTTGGGCATAATTCATTGATGTATTATTCAATTCAAACACAAATAAAAAAAAACAGTCTTTATTTAAACAACACAATGGTAACAAATACACACAGCCCTAACTCCTGAACTAGAAAACTGTGTTTCAAGAGCTAGTACCTTCCCATATCAGGCGTACATATTCATTGCATGAAATTACGTTATAATAAGGTAAGTTAATGTAAACAAAAAAGGAAAAAGAAAAAAAAAAATTAAAAATTAAATAAATTACTTCTAACTTACAAGACACAGAGAGAAAAAAAAGTGTGTATATGAGTGTGTGTGTGTGTGCGTGTATATGTGCGTTTGTGTGAGTGGGTTTGGTTGTATGCTTGTGTGTGTTATGTTACTATTACAATTTGTATATATTAGCATTTATTTTATTTATTCATTTTTTTTTATACTAGCACAAGGTTTTCAGTTTGTTCATACGTTAGATTAATTAGCCATTCTTTTAAAATTTCTTTTATTCTATAGTTGCTTAGATTTTTCACAGTATAAAGGTCATTGAATTTATTATAGATAAATGGAGCAATAGTATCATAGTGCCTTTGGGCGAAGACACTTCTTGTTCGTGGAAGCGGACAGCGGTCATGTCTTTTGTAATTTGTAAATAAATACACAATCCTTGAAATAAATTTAACTATCCTATCCTAACCAAACGCCAGATATTTTAGATGAAAGTGGCCAGTTCGATATAACGCCAATTTCATATGTAAATCTATCTAATATCTATACTAATAAATGGAGAGCCGATTTTTTTGTTCGCTTCTGTCCTCCTGACCGATTCCGGCCACCCCGGCCAATCTCATTGAGACTAGCCAACTGCGCAGGAGATATGAATAGTGCACAAGTGTACGCGCAGACACAAGTGCACTCTCTATTCCTGTCACTCTCATACTCCGGTGGGACGACTGCTCGACACGACCAGTGAGAGTTAAGGCGCAGGACCGACGGCTTTACGTGCTCTCCGAGGCACGGGGGTGAAACAACGCCAACTTCCCAACTCCGGGCTGCTACTGAGGCTTACTATACAGAAAGACTATAACTAAACTTGGCCCGACCCGGGACTCGAACCTAGGACCTCCGGATGTGCAGCCGTACATGCTAGCCACTACACCACCGAGACAGTTTATAGTTTTGTTCGCTTATACTGCGATAACTACTGAACCGATCGGAATAATACTCATACCATAAGATGCAGCGTGTTTCGGAGAAGGTTTTAGTACCTATATGATATGTTGGTGATTAATGTACTATGCGGGCGGAGCCGCAGGAAAACGCTAGTCTATACTAATAAATGGAGAGCCGATTCTTTTGTTCGGTTATACTGCGATAACTACTGAACCGATCGGAATAATACTCATCTCATACCATAAGATGCAGCGTGTTTCGGAGAAGGGTTCAGTATATAATGATATGTTAGTGATTAACGTTCTATGCGGGCGGAGCCCCAAGAAAACGCTAGTAGGTACCTAATATTTTATTATATGTACGGGTTTCATATTCCGAGGGATAAAAGTGTTCAGGCGGAAATTGGATTTAAAAAGAACTGTATCAATAAAACTAATTTGATTTGATAAATTGCATCTCTTTATTGTTGTGAAGAGCTAGCGGAGACATACTATGATATATTCTAAAATTATAAAAAAAGAATACGTATAGCAGGATAACGATAAAATTGCATGTAAGGGACGGTTATCGAGATAATCGGGAAATACCGACGACGGTAGCGAAACTTGAGTATTTCGAGCTCAGGAAATGTTAATTATAGAAAAAAAAGCTTTACTTAAAAATAGGAAATTTAATTTAAAAGGAAAAAATCTATAGTTTTTACATACGACGAGCCGTTCTGGAGATATGGAGTAAGGTAATGGTAGGAGCTCATTATCGTTCGGAAATCCAGCCGGGCGCGAAGCTAAGAAACACACCAGGAGGCGGCCCACCTCGGTGGGCGGTGTGCCATGTGGGCTGCTTCTTTTCTGATAGCAGAGTGAACCGTTGGAGCAACCCCATAGCTGTTGTGGTCGGCGTCGGCAAGCCTGCCAACGGCGCGTTTATATTATTGGTTTTTCTAATCGGTGAGACCCACTTAACGTGTGTGAGTGAGTGGTATGCGTAAATGCATTTCCCAACATAATAAAATACCAGACATGTGCGACGCCCACCGAGGGTTCCGTACAAATTTGTAGCTACATATTACTAAAACTGTACATCATAAAAATAATTAAAAATCTGTTTAAGCTTGTGCCAATGAAGCCCTTTCATATGATACCTCACATTACATGGTTAACTCAATTCAAAATTTGGACCGCCGTTCCTTGCATAATGACCCTGTTTTTTCTATGATTTAATTAGAAATGTACAGTTTTCAGATTGTTCCCTATAGGTACTTGTAGTATAAGACGGTATTACTTGCCAAATTTGATAGTTCTAGCCTTCTAGGTCAACGGAAAGCATCCTATAAATTTTGATTTCCGTGAGAGTTTCGAAATACGTTTTTTACGGCATAAACGGCCGTATCTTTTTTCACATTAACTAAAAAGTTTGATTTTTTCACAGCTTCAAGAGACTGTAGATCTGAGTAGGTATATCGTTTTAATTTCAACTCGATACCTCCAAGCGTTCCCGTGATAAAGGGTCTTGGCAGACATACAGACGGACGGACGGACGGACAACAAAGTGATCCTATAAGGGTTTCGTTGTTTTTCTTTTTGAGGTACGGAACCCTAAAAAGGGGGGTTGTCACCAAAAATTCGCTCAAAGCTATTTTTAATTAAAAAAAATATAATTGATTTTTTTAAATGTACAGGAACTGTTTCCCTGTGACAACTTAGTATCAATCGAAAGTAAAAAACTTGTAGAAAATGCCATCATACGGTTGGCAGCCGTTTTTGAATTCACATTACCTGACATTCAGGTATATACAGGTAAATTAAAGTAGTAAATTGCTGGTATCGGATCGTATTTTCGGAAACCAACCAATTATTATTATCAAAATGAAGATAATTTTATTATAAATTCAATGATATAGGGTTAATATACCAAAACATCTCTAGATTAGAGGTTCTTTAATAAAAAATAGCCTAAAGCAAATTTTTGGTGACAACCCTTCTGGGCGTGTTTGTTAATATGTTTTATAGCTTAAAAATATATTTCGCCTAAAAAAAAGACTCCACCACATAGATCGGGATCTTAGACTATAAGTAAATACATTTACT